AAATATATAAAAAAAAAAAAAAAAGAGAAGAAGAAGAAGAAAAAGAATAAGGAAAAATCAACGGAGAAAGGAAAAATAAAAACGAAAAAAATGCAGAAGACATAATTTAAGTCCAGAAAATTGAATTAATTGACCCAATAATCACTCAACACGTATGTGCCTTTAATTGCTATCAAAATTTAAACTTTCGAGTTTTGGTCACTAAATTTATTCAAACATTGGACATTACTCACGATAACATCTATTTCAAACCCCTAACGAAATTGGTGATCTTACTAACATAACATAGGCGGCACTCGTTTTTGATGCACATTAAAATGGAAAGAATGCATTTTTTTTGTGATGTGACGGTGAATATGTGGTTGAAAAAGAATGAAAAATTATTGATGTGATGGAAAATATTATTTTATTAAAAAATATGTGATTGAAAATGAGTAGAAGAATGAGAATGAAAATGTAGCTCAAACATGGAGTAAGCAATGTTAATTGGTAACAAAATACACAGGTGTCACCCTGGATGTTATGTAAGTAATGTTCAATGTTTGCACAAGTTTAATAACCAAAATTCCATATTTTGAATTTCAATCAGCAATTGACGACGCGTAAGTAGGTGCAGTGACGATTGGGACAATTGACTTGACCGCAAAATCTGTAGGGCTAAGGGGTCGGATCTTGAATACAGATTCGGTGTAGGAAAAGGGAAAATATGAAGAAAACAACAGTTTCAGAACCATCATCAAGCAGAAAACGCCCACGAGATGAAGAATCCGAATCCGAATCCCAACCCGAACCTTTAAATTCTCTTTCACTAGGTGAAAAATCTCCCCTGATTATTTCATAATTTAATTTTTCTGCTTTCGGTGACCCTTTTTTTTCCTGGGAATTCACGTTGGGGAAGTATAAATAATTGTGCAGAGGAGAATTTCTCTTTTAGTGATACCATGGTGGCTCTTCAAATAATGCACGCCCAGTTTCCTCACATTGAAAAGGTCTGCACTATTTTTTATGTTAATTGAGTCGGATTGCATGTGTTTGAAAGCTACTCAATTGAACTAAAGGGTCTTTTTCATTTTTGAAATTTCATCCAATTTTTGTTAGTGAAAACTAAGTGGGCTGTTAAGAAACCGGTGAATGGGGCCCTGTGAATGGGATTTGTATTTGGTAGCAATGGAAAATCTAGTCTTTACAAACTGATGGTGCAACACAGGTCAAGAAATGGGCTTTATAGTATAACTTTGGTGTATGATTAATGAGAACTCATCATAATTCAACAGCCAGTCACCTGAATCCCAGTTCTCTGAATACAGCATTTGATTGTAACTTCTTATACTTCTTCTTGGTGTTTACGTTTATCTTTATAGATGGAACAAGCGAAGCCTTTTTAAATAAACTTAACGTGAAGAGTATTTGCCTTTTATAGACACTGAAGATAATATGAAGTATATATCATTGGAGAAGCTGCTCAATGAAAAAGAAAAGGAACAATAGTACTCCGATAAGTTTTAATGCTATAAATGGAGTCTTGAAGTTTTGAAAAGTTAATTTTTGTTTAGGAAATTTACGCACTCGGATTATTGTCAACACAATTTCTCAATTAAGGTGTTTAATAATTTTTATTTTATCATTCCCAGTTTCCACTTTTACTTTCATTTAGAACTTCCAATGTCAGCTTATTATGTGCTTTCAGGTTTCCATCCAGCCTTTTGTTTTGCAATCACAGTTGTACAGCAGCATAAAGGACAGGACACAAGTGGATAGGGAATTAGAGGTATGGTGACTTGGCCAGAAAATATTGACACGTTTCTCTCTCTCTCTCTCTTTTGTATCTAAATCAACGCAACTTAATTTCTGCTCGCATTCTTTCAATGTATACTGTGGACATTGGCATTTCTCGTTGGAATCACAATAAACCTTCTCAACCCACATTCCTCCCTTTTGAGTTATGTCTCGCTGTACTATGTTTCTTCAAGTTCTATAAACAAATAAATTCCATCATTAGGTTTGTTTTATTTCTAAAATCACTCGTTTATTTGTTTGTAATTGTTTTTTCTTAACACTATCGAGTTCTCTCAAGAACTGACATGCTTGATATGGTTGCAAAAGATTTTTCTTTATTGGATTTTTCAACAGAGAGAACTGTGCATCAGGAACGAAATAGGTGATAGGGTAACATATTCATGTAACTGACCTAAATTTACTTGGAAATTGGAGAGGACTTAGGTGCTTGTTTTGTATTATTGAGTTTTGTGCTAACTATTGTGCATTTGATAAATATGGTACAATTATTAGAATTCATGACAGTATTGTATTCAACTACGTGATTTTAGTAAACAACTTTTAACTTCTTGTACTCTGTAACAGTATGTGTTTTGTAGTAAGTCTTGAATTTTTCCTTTACACCTGAGGATTATGAATTTGAAAGACTTTATTCTCTCTCCCCCTTGACAAAAGTTTTTCATCTTTCTTCATCGGTTGGATGTTCTAGTCACCTCTTTTCCACTATTGGTCGTAAATGATGGAAGCACATTTTTCATCTTATGCAGTCTTTACGAAGGGATAGAGTATTGCGGATATTTAAGTTAAATACTGGACAGGATGATCATGCTGTAATGTTTATGGATGACTACCTAAATCAGGTTGGTTTTTCTTGGCTTCCCAGTTTAAAATTGATATTTTTTCTTCATAGAGAACATTTAAAAAATTGTTCATAAGTTGTTTCTGTGCGAGCATTTGGAGTTTTTTCGTACTTTTACTAATCAAAATCACGTGTTACATGAGTACAAGTAATAACCTAACATTAAATAGGACTTTCAAATATACCTTTCAAAAAAAAGGACTTTCAAATATGCTAGTGATTCACATTGTTGACTTTCCATTGTTTCCCTTGCACATATCTTGATTCTTGAACAAGAACAGCACGATGATCCATTTGTGGAAGTAATAGAAAGACCATAGATTAGCCCTAAAATAACTTGTAAGTTGTAAAATTTGCAACTGTTCTTCTTTGAATCTATACTTGATTTCTAATTAGAAAGTTTCTCTGGCCTTCCAAAGAAATTCTAGTATCTTTGAAAATATATAAATTTCTCCCCTTATAACTTTGGTCTTTGGGATGGAATGATCTTCTTAGCTCCTTCAGATCTTTGAAAACCTTTTATTTGCTCCATCATAAGTAATAATATGATTATCATGGGGTAGTGTAATTGGTCCATCATCCTTTGTTGATTTCAGCTGACATGGTACTCTTATTTCTTTTCTCTCTAGTCAAACCCATTTCAATTCCTCTTCTTTCAGTCGATTAGTCAGTAAGCTCGTCATTCAACTTATCTTATGTAACAAAAATGCCTTAGCATCTGGAGGGGTTTTGGTTTGTTAGCTGTAAATTTTGCAGCTCGTAGTTCTACTTTTGTTCCTCTAGTTGAGTAGGATATCACTGTAAGTCGAGAAGACAAATGAATTGGTATTAGTGGTTATCAATGCATTCAATATCAATAATTAAAACGGGGATTGAATATATTTTGTTTTATTTATGCATGGTCACTATTTGAATCCTCACTGTTTTGTGCAGTAATTTGTGCAATCTTGGCTTGGATTTGTTCATAAGAAGTAAAAAAAATAAAATATTAATCTTGAATAATTAGTGAATTGACAGAAGTCTTTAAACATTGTTCAGATTGAACATGTTGTGAAAAGAATGGAAGTGAAGACTCAAGATGATCGTATGGTTTTTGAATGGTTTAAGACTCATGTAATACATTCGAAGCTGGATACCAGCATTGGTCATCAAGAGCTCGTGAGTTTTCCATTCCTCAATTTGCATTATGTTGCCCACTGCTGAACCAATCTATACATGTTTGTCTCATTTTTCATGTATATTTTGTGGGATTAAACTAGTTGTACACACTTGGTGTACATCAAGTTTGACACTTCAAGTGTTGTCAAAATCTATGGCATTGATTGTTTAAAGTGTTGTGAAGATCAATGTCTAAAATAATGCCACCTCACAAGATTGTCAAACTTAATGTAAAACTTAGTGTACATGTAGCTTGATTGATATTTCGTGTGATCTGCTAATCAACTAGAATATTCAAGTACTTTTTCGAATTTATTCATGCTGAAAGTTCCTGCTAGTGTACTTAGAGTTGGATTAGTAAAGTGTGGCATCCTGGAACTCTGAAGCTGTTTTAGAACTTTTCTTCTTCTTACCTTTTCTAAATGTGCTGGTGCAACTATTTTTCAATATCTAAATTATGGAATAAAACTCATGTTTCTACTGCATGCGATAATTTTTGGCACCAGAAATCAAGTTGTAAAATGGAGGTAATAAAAGTGAGCCTTGTTTTTTGATCATAAATATGTTAGTAGGAACTGTCTGCATTTTATGTTAGGTGCTGTGTTGCAATATATCAGCCCATATTCTGTTGATTTAATCTATGACTTAAGCCTGTAGTTTAGTAGAGACCACTGTATTGAAAGTCCCAGATGCTGCCTCATGCAGGAGGCATTCATTAGGAGCTTTACGCTTTAAGTACCTGTTATGAAATCTTATGTCTTGACTTAATGAGGTTCATGTATCAAGACATAATCCCTTAGTCTTGCTTCTTCTGAACTGTTTTTTAACTGGCTCCAGATGGCTATATATTTATGTCCTTGGATCCTTTGCAGTGTTCACTTCTGTCCATGGGGGGAAAGGTGAAAGAGGAACATATTTCTTTATTAATTAATGCTGGTATTATTGTAAGTAAACGTTACATTTCTCTCTTGTTCTTTTTTCCATTTATGAAAAATGTGTACTTGAATTTTTGATCATGAACTTGAACACATCCAGTTGTTTCAGTGTACGATCCAATTTTTTATGATTTTGATAGTAGTTTATGCTCAATCTTTATATTTATGATGTTAAAAGTAAATATAGTTTCTTGCCCTACACAAGCTAATGACGCGGGTTCACAGGTTCATTTCAATCATTTGTTTACTGTTTTGCATCTCGGCAAACAAGATATAAATGTTAGTAGGTTTAAATTTATCGTTTTGCATCTGTAAAGTATTTATATTAATTATTTTGATAAAATTGAAAACTTAAAACCAAGAGTAAAATATGGTTGCCATGATAGTGTCAACATAAGATAATTTGAGTAGGTTAATGATTGTTGAACTGGATTATCGCATAAGAAGATAAAGAAGGATGGTTGACAGTTCTCTCAAATTTTAAGTGGCTGATAAATGATGGAATTTTGTTGGTGATACATAAATTCCTGGATGATCGCTCACTTCACTTTTCTTCTTTTTACAAATTTTACCACTAAATTTCTTTGTTGCTCCATTATCCATTCAGCAGCGTAAAGTTGTACACTTGACCAAGTGTCAAGGGTGCCAGTATATTGATGCCCCAAAAGACCTATAAATTTTTCATGCTCTACACTGAATAAGTTATGCAAAGAATTTGAATCGAAATTAATGTATATTCCATCATCCCCCTTTGAAACAGGGAATGTCAAAACAACCTAAAGTTGTATGACATTCATCAGATTTGTGTGTCAATGAGTAGCTGTACATTATATGTTTCTTATGTTTAAGGGTTCCTTTCTCTTCCTCTTGGTTTGTGAAACTGCTATTTTGTTTCAGATTCGCCAACTTATTGATCAAAATATGTATTGGTTTGCAATTCCAAATATTGGTTCAGTGCTCAAAGGTCTCTCGCAGGTAAGATGTATCAGAATTATTAGTTTTATGATCTTGTCTAGATAACCATGAATGCAATGTTTAATTTATATTTTGAAATTTTCTGCATAAATTTTTAGTACGAATTTTTTTTGAAGTTCAATTTTCTTTGATACAGAAGAATGGAACATATTTTTTCATTAAAAAGTTGATTGAGTATTGGTAAATGGTAAAATTGTCTTTGCAAAATTTTAAAATAGCTAAAATGGATCATTATTCGGGTATTTTTATCCTGTACTTTTGTGTACTAGAGTATGTTAAACTAGACAAAGCTAAGGGGAGCCATTTCATGCAACTAAGCATACAATTTTTGATCATTTGTAATTTCAGAAGTGCATGGGCACCTCTTTAGGAATTTAACTCCTTGTATGGTGAAATAAAATTTGGCTGCCGTGATCATAGGATTGAATCATGCACTATTTGAATACATCAAATTCTTAAATGGTAAATTGTGTTGTGAATCTTGATTTTGTGAAGTATAAACTAACCTTTATATGAAGCAACCCTATGCAAAAATAGATGAAATCGTACGTTAGAAATAGTTGTTTTCTAGTTAATGAACAGTGCAAATGTTTGTGGTATTGTGTTCTTTCATCCTAATTTGTTATTGGTTATTGACACAAGTTACCTTTCGTATCATGAAATTATGTTGTCATCAATGCATACATTCAATGAATAAAAATGATTAGAGGGCTTTTTGGAAAATTGAAAAGTGAATACAAATCACTTAGTGCTGATCATAGTAATTACAGAATTGTCAATATGAAAATTTGTTTGTTAGGCAATGAATATTAACCTCTGACTTGATCAAATATTTCAATCACAGAATTGTTTCATCATTTTAGAAACCTTCTTGTCTAATATATTAACATATATTAGATATTAGATTATATAACAACATATGGTTGTTATATTCATTTTCAAACAATTTATGTATATGTGTATATATCCATGTCATGTATTCGCACGTTGTTACATTTGAAGCTTTTATAATTAATCTTTATTTTAATTCAATGCTAAATTGATAATCAAGATAAATTTGATTGAAGTTTTACATTGATTCTAAGTGTGTGTAATTATTTTCAAGCGACATCACTAAATGTTATCAAACAACCTGCATCTTGTGATTTTGCAAGTTGAGCAGGAATTCCTTGTATTTTGGAGGTAAGGCGGTCTTTGTAATCATTTTTCATATTTATATACTAGGGTAGGGGGGCAATGCCAAACCACCATTTGGATGAGTAGAGTAGGCTTAAAGATGCTCACCTTTCTCGGATGGACTTCACGTTAACAAAAAATACATGCTGCTTCCAGCAATCACTTAATGTTTTTAGTTTTCGTCATGGATACTATTGAATGCCCTCTTAGATATCGATTTAACTTTAGATGATTTTTTCCCAATATTTTTGCCTATACTTCACATTATCTACGCAAGCATTACCTTTAGCCTGTATTTTTCGTGTTGAATGGTATCTTGAAATATGGAAATGATGGCAGAGCATGAATTTGCTTAGTTCCATTTGTAATCTACTAATTTCTATCTAAGAAATTATATTGCTTGAATACTCTATTGGTCTCCCAAAAAATGAAATTGAGAATGTTTTCTTTGAAGGGCTTTACAAGTTTGACACTTGTATTACTTTTCAGAACTATTCATGTGCATTGATGCCTAATATTGTATTTTAGGGCAGAAAGGAGGTTCTCTCATTCCTCAACCGTAGGAAATATAAAGAGATGATGTTGACTCCTTTGGAGAAGAAGCGCCTCCGATTTTCTCCTCTAGATATGAGATTTCATCTTAGAGATCTAATTGGTTCTGGTCACCTCAAAACTGTCCAGACGCCTAGTGGGTTAATTGTCCGAGTTGCGAAGGATTGAAAATCGGGTATTTATCTCGCTTTATTCACATATTCACCCAGATTAATAAAGGTATTTTGTACTTGGGGGTTACAAATGCAACAAAACTAGCGTTTCTAAATATCATTATTTGTTTGGTTGTCAAGTTTGTGTTTAGTAAAAAACATATATTTTATATGAGTAAATATGAACAAGAATACGTCAACATATACAAAATGTCAATAATAATTGTGTTATTAGTTTAGGGATTTGTATTCACGTCACATAGGACCCCAACATATACAAAAATGTGAATAATAATTGCATTATTAGTTTAGGGATTTGTATTCAGTTCTCATACTCGTCCAATTTGCATACTGAATGATTAATAGATATTGCAGTATTTGATTCATGAAATTCTAATTTTATGTTTCATAGTCACTAGAGAAAGATGACATTATAGTTTAATATTGAAGATGACTCGTTGATTGAGCAGAGTGGAAAATCAGGATCAATATATGGGATCTAAGAATAGGACAAGGCTTTGTTGAGTTGAACTGCGTTGTATATTTATGACCTTTTCAAGAACTGGATCAGGTAATAAAGTGGTGGGTAACTAGGTTGCAGGCAATCCTCTTTATGTCATTAAATGACAGATGACACCCTCTGTAATCTGAATTGAAAGCTATTGTTATAACCAAACCACAATCCTCAGAAGCTCATTATGCAACTCTGTAGCATATCCTCAAGAATGTTAATAGGCATCTCTCTCTACCCATCTATTCTTTGGATGAACAGAGGTGCTTGGTTTCTATGCTCATAGCTCACTGCACAATGCACCTAACTTAGTGAATTTAGCATTGATACAATACCTGGTTCTAAATAGTGAATTTAGCATTGATACAATACCTGGTTCTAAATATCAGTGTACCATCCTTCTTTCATAATTAAGTTTATCTGTTCCTGATATTGCTCTCTTTTCTTGATCTTCACAATTTTCACATCTTGCCTTTGGACCCTTAAAATATTGGCTATTCAATCACCTCACCTTCGGTAGAGCTAATAAACCACTCTTATATGGGAGAAAATGTGACAATACAACATTTGCATCAACTTTAATGTATTTTTGAGAACTTCTTTTAATGGAAGGTTGTGTGCTAAATAAAATATCTAAAAATGGATTAAGTTGAATAATTTAACTGATTTTCAATAATGAGAAGCAAGAATTTTATACATGGACCAACGTGCTTCCTATCACTGGGATTAGCCAAATAAAAGTAGCTTCTTTCTTCTAATGACCACTGACTGCATATATTTAAATCCATATTCCTAGCATCATTGTCTTTAACACAAAGCCTCATCTGACTTCAAGTACATCGACATGCAATTCTGCATAATTCCAAGCTACAATCCAAGGTCTCTATCCATTATTGCATATCATTTTCCATCTGTTATCTTAGATTTTCATGTCAATTATTTCATACATACTTTATTTTGTCTTGGAATTTCACATCTTTTTTCAGAACATAGCAGCGTTTGTAGCAGTACACAATACACACGCCTAGATATCTCTGTGGCCTCTACATGCCTCATTGTCATCTTCCCCACACATTAAGCTGCTTAGCCTCCAAATCTAAGCTTCTTTTGAATATGGATGTGCCACCACCTTTGGTGGAAGTCAGCTGCCTTAAAGCACCAGATTTTGACTTATTCTTCTTTTATACGCTGTCTTAGTTGAATAACTGAGATGTACGAGCTCAAGAATTTGATGGCAGCCACTTCATATGAATAATGCCAAAAGATAGATCTATATTTGTCAGACATGTTGGAACCTCTATGATTGAGATTTTGGTGTTTTAATTGCCTCCATGAAATTTTAGCGACCTCTATGATTTGGTTATATGCGTGCAAACCTTATGTATCATTTCAGACTGTAATTGTACTTAAATGGTCATATATTGCATATCTTTTTTCGCCATTTTCCTCCAAGGCAAATTATTTAATGCCTAGTCATCTTAATATATTAAGAAAATGACAATTTAATTAGTATGGACCATCTGTATCAAGTTGAAGGCCAATTCTAACAGCTGCATTTTCCATTGAATATACAGATTGTTAGAATTTGGACGTGACTCGAATTTCTTGTTGAAGTAATTGAATAATTCTAATTGAAGTGCATATCAAGAAGAACTCGGTTTGGAATGCTATTAGAGTCCTATGTCAAGTTGAAATTTTATTTTGGAAGCCCATTGGGAGTTGTAATTTGTTTTGGACTCGATTTTTTTGGTATCCTAGTTCATCAACAACTCTACTAGGAGAGTTTGAACATCACTTATAAATACTAGGCTTTTCTATACAATTTTATAGTGTGAGAAAATAGATTACTAGAATTATAGGATCTATTGTAATTTTTCTCTCTTATTCTTGAATTAATAAAATCTCTTAATTCCTCTGTCATATTCTTATCTTTATTATTCTATTATTGGTTGATCATATACTTCATTATTATTTGCCATATCACTTTAACATCTTAATCCGGTGGTTTGTTTCACAACAATTGGTATCAGAGCAATTCTGGTATCTTGTTTGTTTTACAACACAGATCATGGGCATTATAGGTTGGCTGACTACCAGAAGATCCTGTAAAGTCTTGACCTGGTGACCTTACTAAAATGCTGCCATGTGAGTTCTGAATTTATACTTGGCTGTCCACAGCTTGCATTATCATAACTGGATTATTGGTTATTGCATAGACTTATTTCCCATTGCTGCATAGAGTTATAGAATATCTTGATCATAGCTGTTACATAATTGTAACTGTACAAAAGAGAGTTGTTTGATTGAACTTCAATTTTGTATTACCTTCTTCAAAAATTGAGGAGCCTCCCTTGGGAAATAAGAATTTCCTAGACTGACTTGTATCTTTTCCGAGTGCGATGAACCTTATCGTATTCTTTTAATATGTAATGATAGCAAGGATAAATCGACTTACACTCGACCGAAGTTCTAATTGTATTAAATATTCTCTGTTTGGCTAATGATAATTGCTTATATATTTGTATGAGTAAGAAGTCATGGGTGTGAACATTAGGTATGCTATATGCAAATATAATGATATTCCACATATTAATTGCTTTAACTGCTGCTAGAAAAAGAATTTACTTTTCTATATTGTAAAAAAAAGTTACTTTCATCGAAAGTAAATCTTTTACTAAGCATAGAACTGTCGATAAATTCATCGATTATCACCTACACAACATCTATTAGTCCGTCTGTAAAGTTGTACGCCATCACCAACGGAATATCCGTAAGTACGTATTGTAGCTAATTTTTCATCGGCAAAGCCGTGTTATTTCGTAGAGCGACAATTTCAAGATTTGCAACTTCTAAATGGCCAAATCAACTAAATCAGAAATGGTTTTGATGCGGTTAATTAAAAAGCAGTAGGGTCAATTTAACGACAAACCAAGAAGCATTGGCGACGGCAAATTTGTTTTGTTTTGATTAATAATTCAATTTAAGGATCAGAAATATTCCTAAGAACAGTGTCTTAGAAAAGGGCTCTTGAGACAATTCAAAATCACAAGAAAATCCAGTTCCTCGTGTATCCCTTTAATCAATTATTTGTTAATTAATGTCAAAAATTATTGTCATATCGTAGGGCTTCTTAATATATAAATATATATTTTTTCGATCCCGTCTAGTCTTTCATATCAACACAAATTTTCTAATTATCTTCGGACGCGTGTATCCATTGATTTGCCTGATATTTGTATTAATAGCCACGATTTACATGCATAGCTGAAAAAGTTTTGAAAAAATTAAAAAAAAAAAAAAAAAAAAAATTGAGCCAAAAGAAAACTATTTTAACACGTCGTGGAGCCAGGAATTTGTCCATATCGTCGGTAAGTTCTGGTGTAACGATCTTAACACTACCTCGAAAAAGAACTCGGTGAAATAGACGTGCCTATAAAACAAGTTGTACAATAGTAAACAATCAAATCCTACTAACTACGAACAAAAGTGTTAAAAGGATATGTGCTTTCTCGCTTGAACAAAACTATTAAGAATATGTCTTTTCTATCTCAAAATAACTTATTGTACAATACTTTCTTTTAATTTTAACTTTCGATCGCGCAAACATATATCTTTAGGTGACACTTGTCCCGTGGCGGTAGAACAAAGATGTCGATTGGGCCTACGTGTGAGGGTCGTAGAGGTAGATAGCTAAAGCCTAAAGAGCTTAGGTGTCCTCCTATACACGGTTGCTTTGCAAGAAAGAAAACCCACATCATCTCCTCTCTCGCTTCACACGCTAAAATGACTTCTTCTCTACTTAAAAGAAGCTCACTGTCGCTAATACTCACAATTATACATACACACACACACATATATATATACACGAATTATTTATTTAATTAAGTTCAGCCTCCATTACTTGCGGTCCTCAAGTATAAGCCGAAAACAAATTTCATCGAAATTTAAATACGCGTATAATTTTCATAAATGAGTAGTAACGAAACTTGAATATTCTTAATCGAGTTTAGAGAATTGAGGTGCAATTTCTACTTAATATTGCAACAGCTCTTTTTAATTACTAGGTCGAACACAGTTTTGGTTTAGGGTTTATTTTATTTAAATTTACAAAAAACATTTCAATCCGTTCTCGATATTCTATGTAATCAACGAGTCCGCCTTCGATTTTTATGCTTCCCTACACCCCAAGTGAAATACAATCAAGATTATTAATTTGTTGTCCCCATGGGCATGACGTAGTAGTAAATAATAAGAGTTCTCTACGGAGTATCGAATGTTCGAATCTCTGCGACAGTTGGAAGACAACATTTATGTTGAAAGACAGATGTCCACAGGGAAGAGAAGAGCCGAATGTCCGGTCCAAGTGTGTATAAGATGTGATTGCATCAGGATTAACTCGGGTGGCGAACCAAGGGGGAAGACTGCCACTTCTTAGGATTAGTCGGGCGAATCTTGGACACCCGAGTCATCAAAAAAAAAAAAAATCATTAATTCGTATCTTATTT